AATAATTTGGAGCCAGCAAACCCCCGGTGCTCGGGGAATGCAGGGGGGGGAATTTTCGATTATAAATTTTTGTGTTGGGGAGCTGAAATACTGTATTTGAACTCAAATGTCATACCGATATTCTGGTAGATTGTTTAATTTTTTTTTTCAGCAAAATGTCTCCCTGGGACCCTTTAAAATTATACCCCCGGGGAGGAAACCTCCCCACCCCCTTATAACAGCATTCATCCTGCTGGAGGTATCTAAAGCAAAAAAGGGGAAACAAAAACAATACAAAAGAAAAACCTTTACTTAAAAATCTAAACATACAAAATTGTCCACCCAGTTTGTTTTTTTGATAGGACAAAATATACAAGGGGTGGGGCGGACTACAACTCATGGGCCCCCCAAAACAATAGAGATCATGGGGGCCCCTCTGTCTTTCCCCAAACTCAAAAAACCTATGAAAAGGAACCAGGGGCATTCATAGGCCCCCTACGACCCTGGGCCCCGGGCATGCCCAAGTTTCCAATGGCCCAACCCCCCCCTGCATGGGGTTTTATTTACTAAAACGGGGGATGCAAATTCGGGTCAGCTCTGCAAGTAACCAATCAGCTTCCAATTTTTATAAAGCAATTGAACATTGAAGTTAAAAGCTGATAGGCAAACGATGCAGTTCTCCCCCGAATTTAGAAATAAATTTTAAAACAACCTCAAAGAAAAAATATATATAAAATATATATAAATTTAAATATAATAAATAAACAGAAATCACAGAAGTGATCCCCCCCTCACATTTTTGTAAATATTGTTTTGTTCTTTTCTGGACAACCGAAAAAAAACACTTTGCTACAAGTGCTATCAGGACAGCTTGTATAACTTTTAAATTTTGCTGTCCCCCCCAAAATAACTCAACACACCCCGCCCCCCCTTTAATGTCAACCCGCGGCAACAAAATGAGTCCACCCCTAATGACCAAGGTCCAAATTGCCCAAAGTGTCATATTTTTTTTTGTGTGGCTGCCATTATCTTCCCAGTACAGCCTTAAAACCCTCTGGGCATGGGAGTTAACCAGAGCTTGGAGGATGTTAGAGACTTTGCTCTCCTCCACCTTCCAATATTTAGGACCCCCACAGATGCTCAATAGGGTTTAGGTCTGAATGACATATGGCCATCCACTCCTTTACCCACAGCTTCTTTTAGCAATGCTATAGACAAGACACACTTGCCTTTTGTAAAAAAAATAAACTCCTCACCTGGTTGCTGCCACACACGCCTGACACCATCTGAACCAAATCAGTTTATCTTGGTGTCATCAAACCACAGGACATGGTTCCAGTGATCCATGTCCTTAGTCTGCTTTTGTCTTCAGCAAACTGCGAGCTTTCTTGGTCATCATCTTTAGAGAGGCTTCCTTCTGGAACGACAGCCATGCAGACCAATGTGATGCAGTGTGCGGCATATGGTCTGATGCACTGACAGGCTGACCCCCCCACCCCTTCACCCTCTGCAGCAATGCTGGCAGCACTCACACGTCTATTTCCCAAAGACAACCTCTGGATATGACGCTGAGCACATGCACTCAACTTCTGTGGTGGACCATGGCGAGGCCTGTTCTGAGTGGAACCTGTCCTATTAAATCACTGTATGGTCTTGGCCCCCCGTTCTGCAGCTCAGTTTCAGGGTCTTGGCAATCTTCTTATAGCCTAGGCCATCTTTATGTAGGATCCTCAGAGATTTCTTTGCCATGAAGTGCCATGTTGAACTTCCAGTGACCAGTATGAGAGATTGAGAGCGATAACACCAAATTTAACCCACATGCTCCCCATTCAAACTTAAGACCTTGCAACACTAACAAATCACATGACTCCGGGGAGGGAGAATGGCTAATTGGGCCCAATTTGGACCTTGTCACTTAGGGGTGGACTCACATTTGTTGCCAGAGGTTTAGACATTAATGGCGGTGTGTTGAGTTATTTTGAGGGGGCAGAAAATTTCCATGTTATACAAGCTGTACACTGACTACATCACATTGTAGCAAAGTGTTATTTTTCTTCAGTGTTGTCACGTGAAAAGATAGAACCAAATATTTACAAAAATGTGAGGAGTGTACTCATTTCTGGGAGATACTGTATATACATACTGAAATGGTTGGGTTCATTTTAAATGTCTTAATGGTGGTGGCACAACCATTATTCCATGCTCAACTTTTTGCTAAAGAAGAACCCTTGAAATAATTTTCAGGTCTTAATGAACCTCTGCTAATACATATTCATTGGGTATCCATGGAAAAAATGTCTATTAAATTAGTCAGCAGTGGGAAGAATGCCCCCTTATAGGATAGGCTAAACGTTCATTGAATGCATGCTGCTGACTCATTACATTGCCATGAGAACTATGCAGGCACCATTAAATGGAGAGGACAATCAGACACAGCTCAAGGAACGCCCAGAACCCTGGCTGAGAATGGCTGCCCTTGGTCCTTTTTGAAACATAGATAGGCTGCAAGATATTTCACTATTTGACATAACGTGGTTGTAAACCCTTACATATACCCAGTGAAGTGACTGACTTCAGGTGATACACATATATGAAATAAATCCTCCATTGCACCTGTTTATCTACAGCCGTATTTGTCCTAAAACCACTGAAAGTGCAAAATTTACACAGGAGCTCTCAGCTCTTTAAAGCAGGGGGTGGGGAGATGAAGGTACACTGAGTGAGCAGAGCTCCAAGAGCTGATTAGAGGGAAGGGACACCCCCTCCACATAGCTCACTGGAACAGAGCTGAGGCTGTCAATCACAGGCTGTGTGCTGGAGGTCCCTCCCCACCACCTTTTTCCCTTGGTGTCAGCAACACTTGTCAGAAGTGATTCATGCTGATAGCAGAGAAGTAAAGCAGAGGACAGAAATGACACTTAGTACTCTGGACTGAGACACACTATAGAGGGAAATGCTTTGTTCATATTTCATGTCTGAGGTTTACAACTACTTTAAGGTTGCTCTATTGGGGGGGATATGATCTCCATGTATAATACATAAGGGGGGATATGATCTCCATGTATAATACATAAGGGGGGATATGATCACCATGTATAATACATAAGGGGGGATATGATCTCCATGTATAATACATAAGGGGGATATGATCTCCATGTATAATATATAAGGGGGATATGATCTCCATGTATAATACACAAGGGGGGATATGATCTCCATGTATAATACATAAGGGGGGATATGATCTCCATGTATAATACATAAGAGGGGATATGATCTCCATGAATAATGCATAAGGGGGGATATGATCTCCATGTATAATACATAAGGAGGGGATATGATCTCCATGTATAATACATAAGGGGGGATATGATCTCCATGTGTAATACATAAGGGGGGGATATGATTTCCATGTATAATACATAAGGGGGGATATGATCTCCATGTATAATACATAAGGGGGGTATGATCTCCATGTATAATACATAAGGGGGGATATGATCTCCATGTATAATACATAAGGGGGGGATATGATCTCCATGTATAATACATAAGGGGGGGGATATGATCTCCATGTATAATACATAAGGGGGGATATGATCTCCATGTATAATACATAAGGGGGGATATGATCACCATGTATAATACATAAGGGGGGATATGATCTCCATGAATAATACATAAGGGGGGATATGAATTCCATGTATAATACATAAGGGGGATATGATCTCCATGTATAATACATAAGGGGGGATATGATCACCATGTATAATACATAAGGGGGGATATGATCTCCATGAATAATGCATAAGGGGGGATATGATCTCCATGTATAATACATAAGAGGGGATATGATCTCTATGTATAATACATAAGGGGGGATATGATCTCCATGTATAATACATAATGGGGGATATGATCTCCATGTATAATACATAAGGGGGGATATGATCTCCTTGTATAATACATAAGGGGGGATATGATCTCCATGTATAATACATAAGGGGGGATATGATCTCCATGTATAATACATAAGGGGGGATATGATCACCATGTATAAATACATAAGGGGGGATATGATCTCCATGTATACTACATAAGGGGGATATGATCTCCATGTATAATACATAAGGGGGGGATATGATCTCCATGTATAATACATAAGGGGGGGGGGATATGATCTCCATGTATAATACATAAGGGGGGATATGATCTCCATGTATAATACATAAGGGGGGATATGACTTTCAGGTCATTACTGAGGACAAGGGGAACCCTTTACATCTGGAGGAAAAGAGATTTAACCTCCATATATGGAAAGGGTTCTTCACAGTAAGATCTGTGAAAATGTGGAACAGACTTTCTGGAGAACTAATTCTGGCCAGTTCAGTATATTGTTTTAAAAAATATAGCTGGATGCCTTTGTAAATGTATAAATATATAATAAACTGGATACTAACATTTAGAGGTAATAATACCAGTGGTAGTTGATCCAATGAGTTTTTTCTCTCCCTGGAGCACATTGGTTCATGCTTTATTGTTTCTTTTCCTTCCCGTGGACCTATGGGTATAGGATTGAGTATATGAAGGATCTGTATTTATTTGTTTGTATTTTCTTTTGTTTGCACTAGGGGAATGTCTCTTTTTTCAGTCTGCCTAACTATATAACTGTGTAAGTATCTTTTACAATGGCAAAACACTCTGATCCGCCTTCATTGGACAGTAATATTTCCAACAACATCTGATATTTGGGGTGAAGAATTCTTTCACTTGACATGGTTGAGACTGGCTCATGTTTTCTGCAAAACCTTTTAATTTTACATCTACGTTTGCAAAATTCTTCTAGAATTTCTACATTTGATGCAGTGATTTGTAATAAATCATTGTATTTGATGAAGGAAGGAAAACATGAATTGTATATATTTTTTAATACTAGCATATATTGTATATTGAACAATAATACTGAGTATTTTTTCTAAATTTTTTATTTACAAGTATTAAAAGTGCGTTCTATTGTTGCAATGCAGAATCAGACAATTTTGAAGGAATTATTTCTTTCTGGACTGTCCGATCTTCCAACTCTTCATCTCCCTCTGTTCCTCTTCTTCCTTCTCATCTACCTTCTGACAGTAATCTGGAATTTGCTGATCATTGTCCTTGTAGCCACCGATTCTCACCTCCATGTTCCTATGTATTTCTTCCTTGGGAACCTGGCCAGTTTGGACCTGTGTAGTTCTTCAGTCATCGTCCCACGAATGCTATTTGATCTTCATACCAAGAGAAGAAAGATTACAACAACAGCTTGTATGACTCAACTCTTCTTCTTTATATTTTTTTCTTTTTATGAGACTTTTCTGTTGTCCATCATGTCCTATGATCGATACATCGCTATTTGTAAGCCATTGCATTACATAGAGATCATGAGCTGGAAAATGTGTCTATATTTGATATGCAGTGGGTGGTTTCTCAGTTTTATCTATTCTTCAGTTCACACATTTTATGCTTTTAAATTAACCTTTTGTGAATCAGATATTATAGAAAGTTTCTTCTGTGACCTTCCACAGTTGTTTCAGATCTCCTGCAGCGACATCTTCATCAACATTCTGCTCATTTTTTTCTTGGGTGGCTTCCTTGCAATGGGGAATCTAATAATGACCTTCTTCCCCTACGTCTATATATTCAAAACTGTTCTAAAGATGAAAGTGAAGGGCAATAGGAGTAAAGTTTTCTCTACATGTACCCCTCATCTCACAGTGGTGATTATATATTATGTTTCCGTTTGCTTTAATTATTTTCAACCAAATGGAGGTCATCAGTTTGCTGGTAACAAAGTGGTGTCCATGTTTTACACCGTGATACTTCCTCTCCTCAATCCTCTGATTTATAGTTTGAGGAACCAGGATTTCAGAACAGCATTCCGAGATGTTTTAAGGAAGATCATCCCCAATGCGATATAAAATTCACCTAAATTAATCCTTTTGTAAACGTATTTTTTTTCCTGTGCTCAGGTTACCATTAATCAGATCAGCCATCATAATCATTTGTTGATATCAAATTCTAACATACAATAAACCAAAAAAGTGATGAACAAGTGGCTGTTCATCCTAATTATTCAGTGCAAAGAAACATGGTTTACTGGTCCTAAATATTTCCACGTGTGTGACAGGAAAACCAATGTATGCTGCTCACCAGACATATATGACCCCAAAAAACAGTGGTTATAAGTGCTTGTGGGAACAGCCCCAAGCAACCAAGACAAACGTCACTTCTCCCTATATGGATGCAAGAGTCACAGACAGCAAAAACAGAGAGGGAAGCATAGCCTCATAGATTAGTAAATAAAAGCTTAGAATGTGCACTCACATAATGAATTTATGTACCATTGTTCTATAAAATAAGTTGTAAAAGCAAATTTTGGTCATCTGCATGATGACGTCACACTAAATACTTTTTTCCTAGGTTCTAAAAAAGAACACCAGTACTTTTCTTCAGTAAATACGTATTAAAGTAAAAGTGTTGGAATACAAAAAAAAATATATCTATACACACTGTGATGCTGTAGCTGTCCCCATTGGCATTAAAGAGGATGTAAAGTCCATAATTTAAAAATTCCCTGACAGGCAGATATTTTAAGAGATTGTAAAGACTCAAGGTTTTTTTTTTACCTTCATGCATTCTATAGAACATGTAGCAAATGAGGTTTCATGCTGATAAATGTAAGGTTCTGCAATTGGGGGCTAAGAATATGCATCATACATACTAGGAGGAGTACAGCTGGAGGGGTCAATGGCGGAGAAGGATCTGGGGGGGGGGTCAATGGTGGAGAAGGATCTGGGGGGGTCAACAGTGGAGAAGGATCTGGGGGTTCTGGTAGATCACACGCTTAATAATGACAGCAATGCCAAGCTGCGGTTTTCTAAAGGGAGCAAAATCCTGTCTTGAATTAGGAGAGGAATAGACTCCAGAGAGAAAGAGATATCATCCCCCCCCCCCCCCACCGGTTCAAATCATTAGTAAGACCTCATCTGGAATATGCAGTTCAGTTTTGGGCACCAATTCACAAAAAAGAACATTAGGGAACTGGAGAGAAATACAGAGAAGGGCAACCAGACTGATATGTGCTCACTGGGACCTTCAATGCTGCAGAAATGTTTCTGTACCCTTCCCCAGATCTGTGCCTTGACACAATCCTGTCTCGGAGTTCTACAGACAATTCCTTGGACTTCATGGCTTGGTTTGTGCTCTGACATGCACTGTTACCTGTGGGACCTTCTATAGACAGGTTTATACCATTCCTAATCATGTCCAATCCACTGAATGTCCCACAGGTGGACTCCCAAATCCACTGAATGTCCCACAGGTGGACTCCAATCAAGTTGTGGAAACATCTCAAGGATGATCAGTGGGAACAGGATGCACCAGAGATCAATTTTGAGTGTCGTGGCAAAGGCTGGGAATACTTATATACCTGTGTTTTTTTTTGTTATTTATTTTTAATAAATTGCAAAGATTTCGAAACAAACTTCTTTCTCGTTGTCATTATGGGGTCTTGTTTGTAGAATGTTGAGGAAAAAAATGAATTTAATCCATTTTGGAATAAGACTGTAACATAACAAAACGTGGCAAAAGTTAAGTTCCGGGAATACTTTCTGGATGCTCTGTATCTAACTAAATCCCTATATGCCTGCAAAAAGCGTACTGCCACTTGCAAAGTTGAGCTCAAAAGCACTTGTTTTACAGGCGTTTGATGTTTTTTTGTATCTGCCTCTAAATGCCTCTCCATGATAGTCTATGGTGGAGATTTTTTAAAACTATATCACACAGAATCTGGTGCAGCTGTGCATGGGAGCCAATCAGCTTCTAACTTCAGCTTGTTCAATGAAGTTTCGGCAATAAAACCTGGAAGCTGATTGGGTACTCCCATGCACAGCTGCGCCAGATTCTGTGTGCTCCAGTTTCAAAATATCTCCACCATAGACTATCATGGAGAGGCATTTAGAGGCAGATACAAAAAACATCAAATGCCTGTAAACCAGATTCTGTGTGCTTCAGCTTTAGTAAATCCTTTAATATGTAATGGGAGGAGCAGAAAGCATCCTCCCTGCTTCTCCCAAGACCTTCAGTTCTCTGGCCCCCCCTCATCACCTTCTCCCATATTTGCCTCCAGAACCTCTTCAGACCATCTCCCTTCCTTTTAGCATCATCTAGCCCTTTCTTCCCTAGCCTGATGTTCCTCGGTTCCTCGGTCCACCCCTTTCACTCTTTTGTATTTCAATCCTTTTATCATGAAGGCTCAACATTACATGTGGACATTGCCTAGGGTCATCTGTGTGACGATTGCAGCGTCAGACCCCTGACCTTCTCACCAAACTTGTGACCGAAGGACTAGCCAATCTGAAACCGCGATGTCACGTGCTTAACAATGCCACACCCAGCTGTACCCTGCACAACGATTTTCCAGTTCATGGACCACCAATGGATGTACCAGCAGTCTGAATGTGCTTGTTACTGGGTCAGGTTAATTACGCAATTAACCCTTCACACTGCCACCACCTCCTTTTTTGTACAGAGATAAAGGAAACTCGGCAATCTCAGCAATAACACTATAATGGTTGAGATAATTGTCTGTATAGCACGGTCACCACAGACAGGTTATACAGAGGGTTAAACAAACACGGTAGCGCTCTTTTAGAGACAGGAATTCGTAAATTGCAATAAAGAGCTATAGAAACAGTTCAACACTTTCAGAAGGAAAGATTTGTTACTAAAAGGTCAAAAGGGTGCAATAAAAATATTTACAGAAAAAAGATGTAACCAATATATATATATAAATATATAGAGAACAACAGCACAGCAAAGAGATAACAGAGAGGAGTTAGAGGGTTAAAGTACTTGCCAAAGTCCTGTGTTAGCAGATCAAGTTTCAGAGCAAAAGGGCACAGTCTTCCAAGGTGGTTCTGATGTAAAAAGGGAGAATTCTTCAACTTCCACTCTTAGGCCTGACAGCCTATTTTGAGGTCCCCCAGTAGGGGGTGTCTCTGAAGCCAAGGACCAATGCCTCGTTTAGGAAGGGACCGTCTGGGCGGATACCTAAACTAGAGCCAAAATCTCTCACAGTTCATATTTTGCTCATAACTTTCCCTATGCTCAAGTGACATTCCACCCGCGGGTAGATTACTATGCAAACGCATCTGAGGAACGGTTAGATATGAAATATGAAATTTACATGTTTGAAGGGTTCAAGAGATGTAATTTTCTGCTTTCCTATAGAGTTGGGTAGTTACTTGTGAGCCACTAGGAGTTTTCTTACTATATGCAAACTCTAATAACAATTGATTACGTGCATAAAAAAATTAATTAAAATTAATTAATTAACGTGCTTAAAAAAGTATTTTTAAAATATTAGATCGCAAGGTACTTAGTACACCCTCTCTAGGTGTATAAATGTTAACCATATAATCCAATATTGTACCGCGCTCCAATATATTCTACCTCATGTAAATATTGTGAATACCTGTGTATGCCACCAATTAACAAATAATTTCATCAAACAGTAATACTTAAATATATAATTTGTATAAATATAAAAGAAATTAAATATTCTATAAATGTGAAAAAACGAAAAAATAAAAACGAAAAAAATAAAGTGGGAATGATAGTTCTCCTCTATGTGAATTGAGATGGTATTATTCAGACTGGATTGTACAATGAATCTGTGTCCACTGCGTGAACCTCTCTCTCCTCAGCACAGCCTTCTCAGTAGAACTTTCTCCGCTGGCTGCTTGGCTTAATCCTCCATATATGGAACATAAAAAGAAGGGAAAAGAAACATAGTGTCTTATCCGGGATTTCAGTTGTTTAATGTGCTTTGATTTCCCACTCACATTGTGAAAGATAAAGTAGCGCTTTACATAAAATGTATCCAGATCGTAATATGGTCAGCCTTATAGGTGTGTCTGCCTTCAGTGTGTATACTCGCCGTTCCTCTGTGGATGCGTGATGACGTCACCGCCCCTCCCCTACGCGTTACGCTATCTCTGTGGGCATGATTGCTACAATCTGCATGCAAACATAGTATGCATAGACACTCCTCCCACCCATTAAGGCATTATGATATTTGCAAAGTCTTCCCAGGAGTGTGAGCATACTTATTGCATCAGAGCTGTTAACCCTTGAGAGTGTTACTGAGGCAGGGTGCTGTGGTGTTTTCAGAAAGCCATATACAGCACCCTGCCAACCCCTCCCACCAGCCATGATCTTCCTGCATTGAAGTACAGAGTCTCAGTGATGGCATCAATAGGTCTAAAGCAATGTATTTAGTGACAATGGAAAGGTTTTATTTAAAGTTGACATTAGCATGTTGATGGTGTTTATTGATAAGGTTTGAAACATTTTGCTTTGCATGCTATGGTTTATGCTGCGGTGCCATGTAGGTTGTGTGGGACAGGGGTCTAACCCAGGCACTGCAACTCTGATATCACACTGCTAGGTACTCCAGTGTAACCTTAAGGGGCCACAAAACAGTTTGGGGATAAGCAGCGTCATGCATGACGTGATGGTTTGGGAAATGTTGCTCCGCACATCACGTTAGGCATCATACCGCTGGGTGAGTGTATTTATTATGTGGTGTATTTATGCATTGCATCGCAGTACAGGGTGGAATGTACCCCGGTAAAGTATCTTGTTTTGTAGACTTATATGAAAATAAAGTATATTTTAAAAAAAAAAACTGTTGATGGTAAAAATAAATCTGCCTTCTTAAAATACAATTCCTCCCTCCATGCTTCCCTTTTTTTAACTCTCTACTTTTCTCCACCACCAGCTCCACCACCTCCACCCAGCAACTCACTCACTGCTCACGATATTGCCAATCACTTCAAGTGAGTCATGGGGGCATCTCCACTGCACAGACATCCATTCCACTTAGCATACCTTATACTAAAACTCCCTCAACAAA